TTTGGTACATTAAAATAGGGCTGGGCGCTTGGGTATTAATTCGGATTGTTTTAGTTTTAATCGAATATTTGGATTTTATTAAAATTTTAAATTAATTTTTATTTTTTTATTAAAAAAATTAGTTAAGTTTAAAATTTTTGGTTAAATCAAATTTGTTTTACTAATTCAATTAAATTGGAAAAGCTTTTTTTCAGGTTATCCAGTTTTAAGACAAAAATTGTAACTAATTAAACTAAAATTTCTAATTGGATAAAATTGTTTAAAACCAAAAAGATCAAATAATCGTTTAACCAAACCAAAAAGAAATGAATTTGGCTTGGTTATTCATTTTTCAATTTTAAACCAAAATGCACCCGGCCCTCCATCAGAGGTTAATTGTTTCACGATTTAAGACTTTAAACTCTTAACATTAATTCTAAATTAAGATTTTTTAATTAATAATTATTAATTCAACTAGGCTTTGATAGGTGAGATAGGGAGCTCTTCCACTACATCTAAGGCAGCAAGGCAGCGTGGTTGAATTTGACATACTTTTGACCCAAATCAATATATGGATCAGAGAGCAATTACAGCATCTACAAATTGGATAAGAATTACTTAATTTTTTTAAATAAAATCTTAAATTCAAATTTTATAAAAAAAAATAGATATTGAAAAAGTTTTTTTTTTATAAAGTTTGATGTGGATTGATTCCAAATTATTTAAATTTAATACAATTTTTTAGTACCAAGAGTTTAGTTTTAAAAGAAAAAATGAACAAGTCCATTAAAAGTGAATAATTAATGGAAAGGTTAAAACCTCCACCTTACGGTCAATAATCTCAAAAAAGGAGCTCATGAAATTAATAACCGGATCAAGTCAACTTGCAATCTATAGTATTTTGTATGTTTTCTTTTCATACTGTAATTTGCATTTTGTTTTTGTTGATAATTAGAAACTGCCTTTTTGATAAGCTAATTACTGGCGGCTTTAGACCTTCCTTTTTTCTGACTTCTAACATCCAATGGATTATATTTTTTAGTACATTATATGACAAATTATATGATAAAAAATAATTTTAAAAATTTTATTTATTTATTTTATATTTAAAATTTAAAATTTTTAATATAAAAATTTAAATTTTCAACCATGGAGACGTCCTTATAGGACTATGTCATGATGTGCTATACAAATAAGTGAGAACCACCAACTACCCATAGTAGGTAAGAAAAACTTGATTTTTTTTAATGAAAAATTCAGTTCTTCTTAAATAAAATTTAAAATTTAAAATTCCTATGGTTATTTAAAAAAAAGAAGTGAGAACCTCTTTAATTGTCTTGGATCGGACTACAAAAGTAAATTTAATCTTATGCAGTGCAGCTGACACATAACTATCGATTTAAGTACCATTTTGGTCTCTCAATTTTTCACTTTAGTATTAAAATTATCTTTTAACTTTAAAAAGTATCAAAATTATTCTTAAACTTTTATTTTCAATACCAAAACAGTCTTTCTATCAGTTAAATGACAAGTGGCACGTTAACTTGCCAACAAATCAACTCTTTTATTCTTAACTAATGACATGGAGGAAAAATAATAATTGTTCATCTTTTTTTTTATATGATTTGGCATTTTCTTTAATTTAAAAATAATGATTTTTTTTTCCATCCACGTCATCTCTTTTTCCTCTTTCACTTTCTCTCTCCTTTACCTTTCCTTTTCCCTTACCTCTGCAAATCCAAATCTAGGTTCTCTCTCAAACTTCATCTTCTTCCTTCTTTCCTCTTTCTTCTTCTTATTCTTTCCCTTTCTCCTACCTTCTTCTTCCTCTCTCAAACCCAGATTTGGCAAAAAAAAAAAAAAAAAAGAACTCTGTAAAAGAATCTTCTCCACAAACAACCACAAATAATTGCTCCATAAAAGAAAAAAAGAAACAAAACCAAAAACAAAAGAAGTCGACCTTGGTGGAGAGACAAGCACCCGAGGCAATGGCAACGACTGTGACGGCGACGTGAGTGATGATGGAGGTGATGGCACCATGGATAGTGGGGATAGCACCAAAAGAAGCAATGATGATGGCGTTTAAAGAAGCAGAAATTGTGAATATGCTTCTACTTAATTATCTAAGCCTGAGAGACACCTAGATCTAGGTTTGAGAACTAGGTTTTCTCAAACCCAGATCTAGGTTTTTCTCAAACATGCATAAAGAAAGGCGCACAAACATTCATAGAAGCTGTGGAGCTCTGTGAATTACAATGGCATCTATTTTGTAGATCTCGAAACCCTATCTTTTCTCTGCGTTTAAAGATTCTTCTCCGTTTCTCTCAAGAACGAGCTAGCCATTGGTTAGAGCTTCATTTTTGTTCTATTTTTTCAAACTCTTGTGGTTGATTCTTGGTCCTGATTTTGCTACTTTTCTTTGTCTTGATGGAACTAGAATTTTCGGTTCTCTTTAAACCAGTTTTTGCTGGTTTCTGTGCTGATTTCACTAGCATTTTGGGTTCTAGTTTGCTACAGATCAAGTCTCCGGTGGTTCGGTACTGATACTTTTTTATTTATTTGCATCCACGTGATTTGACTTAGTTTGGTGAAATTCGAATACGTATTTGAGGTTTTTTTTGTTAGACTGTGATTTAGTTTCTCTTTTGTTGCATTTCAGTGGTGTCCGAGGAGTCATCTAGGTTTGAGAAAAACCCAGATCTGGGTTTGATTTGGAGAGGAAGAAGAAAGGACAAGAGAGAGAAAAAGTGAAAGGGGAAGAAGAGATGACATGAATGGAAAAAAAATCATTATTTTTAAATTAAATAAAATGCCAACTCATAAAAAAAATGGCCATGTCATTAGCTAAGAAAAAAAAATTGATTTGATGGCAAGTTAACGTGCCACTTGTCCATTTAACTGACAGAAGGATAGTTTTGGTATCGAAAATGAAAGTTTAAGAATAATTTTGATATTTTTTGAAGTTAAAGGACAATTTTGATGCCAAAGTGAAAAGTTGAGGGACCAAAATGGTACTTAAACCCATGACTACCTAAGCGCAGTGCTAGGGGCACTCACCTCTTGCACTTTCCGGCCAACACTTCCCCTTTCATTGGGCCAGGTAAACTTGTTTCCGGTTTCG